ATTGTATGAGCTTACCCTGCCATATAATCCAGTTCAAAGCAGATCATCTGGGATGAGATACTGGGCTATAGGGCAGTATCTCATATTGCCATACAATTCAGAATCTGAATTGTATGGCAATATGGATCTAGCTCAGGCATGGCCAAACTTGGGCCCTCCAGGTGTTTTGGACTTCAGCTCCCAAAATTCCTAATAGCCGGTAGTCTGTTAGGAATTGTGGGAGTTGAAGTCCAAAACACATGGAAGGCTGAAGTTTGCCCATACCTGATTTAGTCCAACCCCTTGCCATGCAGGAAAAGCACAAAGTCACCAAGGAAAAAAAGTGTTGTTGTTGGGCTGCAGAATCTTAAACCTACAGAACTACTCTATATGCTCATGTGTAAATGTGTTAACTCATGCCCAGCTTGTGGTCTAATAAGATTCCTAGATTTCTTTCACATGTACTAATAATACGAAAAGCATTTTTAAAGAATACGTAATGTTAAAACTACACAGCTGCATTGTAACTATTACAACAAACGACAAAGCACAAACAAAACACACACCTACATAGACACACGCACTATACTAACAAGTCTTTTCACATAATCAAGTGCAGCAGTGCTCTCCTTTGTCAATCACCTCAGGGGTTTCAACAGCTTTTTCTGTATATTTAACTGCAGCCTTTGCTGAGGAACCTGTTGCACCCATTTGCTTTTCCCCATAACCCTGTCATTTGGGAAGGATAGTCACTGGTCCAACGTCACCTAGTGATTTTTTTTTTTTGCCTTAGTGGGGATTCAAGCTTGGGTGTGTCTTGTCTCTTCCACATCTAATGGCACCTTAATGATCAGACAACATTATTTCTGTAATTATGGTGATGGTTCATTTGCTGGAAGTGAGAACATTTGTAGGAAGTGGGAACACATGCATTTCATTTGTAGGAAGTGAAAACTTTGGCAACCATAATAGAGAAGTTTTTGCTATAAAGTAGAAGAGCGACAAGAAGAAATATGGGTCTTGCTAATTTTGACTGGAATAAATGGTGGAAGTACAGCATCCATGGATATTCCCTGGGGTTTGCATCTAGGATTCTCTAGATACTAAAATCTGTGGATGCTCATGTCCCATTATATGCATTGCCCTAGTAAAATATTGTTCCGTAAATAAAATGGCAAAAATCAGTTTATGCTTTTAGAGATACATTATTTTGGGGAAAATTTAACACTGTGAATCAGTTCAGTCAATGAATACACAGGACCAACAGTGAAGATCTTGATCTTAACCAGTCCTAATTAGAAAAGTCCCCAATTTTCTCAAACTATGCAAGAAAGAATAAACAACTTCAAAAGCCAGAGAACCTTATTCGTCACCATGGTTGTTTCCAATTACTGTATTCCTCCTCCACTAGTTATCATCAGCCCTCTTGACCTCTGGTCTTGTGTGTGTGTGTGTTTTGTGTGCTGTCAAAATGAGAGCAATGCACGAGTATATATAGCATCATTAATAAGATATAGGATCAAGGCTCTGAAGGCAGTAGCAAATGGAAATGCAGATAGTACCTATAATAAGAATCAAAGGTGCTTCCTTGTTCCGTGGCTAGTAGGCTGCAGGCACCATGGCAACATGGAAGAGGTTAGGAAGTTCAATTAGGCCTGAATCCAAAACCTACTAAATTTGCTGGCTAAGAGAGCCATTTTTTCGCACCGAGAACAAGATTGTAATTGAAGAGAAGCCGTGTCAGTCCAAAGACAGGAATGGAACTGGGAAAAACAGCAGCTAGGAAGGATGAAATCTATCCCATTCTTTGGCATTTCTTTGTGTACAAGATGCAGGTTGATACATATTTGCCTCCATGGAGATATTCTGGTGTGACTTGCATTATGGTGGTCTTTTTGTTCTGGTTGGTATTTTTTTTTGGACTTTTTCATTGTTTTATCCCTAGTGAAATATTTTTATTTTTTTTATCCCTAGTGAAATATTTTTTACATACACATGCATTGTGAGTGATTACTTTCCACTTAATTACTGTTCTTCCTTCTATTTCAAGCATGAGCTGCAGAGTTTGTGCTTGAAATAGAGATTCTCCTGCTATTATTATAGTTACTATTCAGATCCTACCCACTCTGTTCTGTGGTATCTTTATGACAAGCAACAGCTTTTCCTTAGCCACCGAGTTATAATACATATTATTGATTGATAACTAGCCGTCCCCTGCCACACGTTGCTGTGGCCCAGTCTGTATATGTGTTTTGTGTATATATATATTTGTGTATATATGTGGTTTTGCACATGCATTGTAATGTTTTTTTTTTGTTTTTTGGCTTTTTAAGTCTCTTCTGCTGTATTTTTTGGTGTTTTTATGAGTGATGGTCACTCGTTGGCCTGATAGGTGTATGGTGTCCAAATTTGGTGTCAATTCGCCCAATGGATTTTGAGTTATGTTAATCCCACAAACTAATATTACATTTTTATTTATATAGAAGCTTCTATGTACTAGTTTACTTAGTTTGGAGCTGCTGGCAGCACAGCAGATTAAACCACTGAGCTGCTGAACTTGTTGACTGAATGGTCAGTGGTTCAAATCCAGGAAGTGGGGTGAGCTCCTGCTGTTAGCCTCAGCTTCTGTCAACCTAGCAGTTAAAAAACATGCAAATGTGAGTAGATCAATAGGTAAAGTTAGTGCAGGAAAGTAAGAGCGTTCCATGCAGTCATGCTGGCCACATGATATAGAGGTGTCTACAGACAACACCAGCTCTTCGGCTTAGAAATGAAGATGAACACCACCCTCCAGAGCCGGACACGACTAGACTTAATATCAAGGGGAAACCTTTACCTTTTACCTTACTTACTGTATATTCCGGTGTATAAGACTACTTTTTAACCCAAGAAAATCTTCTCAAAAGTTGGGGGTCGTCTTATACGTTGGAGTCGTCTTATACGTGGGAGTAGTCTGATACACAGGGAGTCACCTTATAGAGCGGGGCTGAAACTTCCAATCCGGATTGGAGAATCTGTGGTTGCTGCATATTGTGGAGGGAGCTTAAAAATGGCAGTGGCCATGTCCCTGCCATATGCAGCGACTGGATGAAAGCATTAAGGGCAACACTGTACAAGTATGGTAGAAGAAAATCCATTCATCGGGATTCATGGACTTAATGCGGTCCTGATGGTGAGGTGAAAGGGCGCCTCACCGGGAAGGTGTACGTAAAGGGCGGAGGAAGCTGCAGGCATCTGGGGCACCCGGCGTATGGAAAAAAGAGATAAAGTGGCTCTGGGCCCAGAAAAACACAACTCTTTTACCTGTCTGGCCCTCCCTTGTATCATATTGTTGTACCTCCTCCTCTGCCTCTCAGATCTCGCTCCTGAAAACTTCAGTGAAGTGGTGCAGGTGCTGGTGTGTGAGATCTGAGAGGCAGAGAAGGAGGTACAGTAATAGGAAAATTACCACATTGAAATCAAATCTGATGCTTTTAAAATGTTTATTTGGTGTGTGTTGGAAGAGGGGTAGTCTTATACGGTGAGTATATCCCAAACTCTATATTTTAACTGGAAAAGTTGGGGGTCGTCTTATACGCCCAGTTGTCTTATATGCTGGAATGCAGGTAGTTTTTGTATTTACTTCATGCTGGCTTATGTTCACGAGCATATTTGTCCTCCTTGAAAGTAGTGAAGGGTGATTGGGAAATTTTGGATGAATGCTAAGAATACTAATTTTACTTTCAAATCCAAGGTGTCCGTGGTGTTATTTTATTCTTTTTAACAAATGTGAAAATCTTGCCAACACATGATATTCTCATCATCCTAGCCGTATTGCTAGAACAAAATCCCTAATGTGACAGTATCACAAGATGGTCTGAGAACATTCCTTGAGAGGAAAAGATTCTTCTTCATTAATGGCAACACTTTTATGCTTAAAGTAGAGAGACATTCTGTTCTACTTGATATTTAGAGGTATGAAGAGTGCAGTTCAAATGCATTTCTATTATGTATTCTGAGACCTGCAAAAAAGTCTAGGCCATATACTGTAGCCTGAAACTAGTTTTAGTAGAAGCTGTTTCTAATGTCTTTCCTGTGCCAAAACAATAAGGTGTCTCTCAATGTTCAGAACTGTGATTATATGGCAGCATGTTTCATGTGTCCTCTTCCCCACTGAAAGAGAAGCAACCGGATGATGTAGTACCTTAGCAAAGAAAGATGGATTTTATGATAAAGGCACGTATCTTGTGAAGAGATAGTCTCAAAATTATGGCTGATGTGATCAGTGAGATACTTATAAATGTGGTATCTTGAGTTTTATCTGTCAGTTCATTTATATCAAGACATCTAATATTGGAAACATATTTCACTGCTGCATTTCATTCACACATATTTAGAGGCAGGTGTCCTATAAATAAATATTATGAAATGGAGAACTTCTGCTGTTGAACAGATAGCCTGTAGCTACAGAAAGGCATGTATCAGTGTAAATGCAAAGCTGTTCAATTATCGTGCTATGGTTTTGAGAGGGCCATTATGCAGCCCATTAGAGTGAGATCAGAGAGTGTTCTGAAGCTTGGTATGAGCATTAGCCATTGCACTGATACAGTAAGTGAATAAATTCACATCTTATATTAAATTACATCAAGGCTCTATGCTTAATTGCTACTCTGCCGATGCCAGTGTATATAAAAAAATGAAAATGGGAGCCTAAAACCCTGATCTCGTATTACTTGAGACAGATTTATCTTAGAGTTCTCCATTGATTTCCGTCGGGCAGCTCTCATTTCTGCTCTTGAAAAAGGCTTCTCTAATGAGAAGCTGGAAATTTCCTGCATAGGCAATGAGCTGATTCTCTGGCAGATTTTCTTATCTCTATGGAAAGTTTCATGGCTTTGAGTTACTGTGGTATGGGTGAGTCTTGATAAGAAAGGTGGGAGAAACTGCCCTTGTAGAGTCTCCTTAGCCAGACAGGTTTATGCAGAAAATGTTTCCTGAAGTGTTTGGAAATACTATATATGGAAATTCCTTCCTTCCCTCAGGAGAATCGCAGTCTGACTATCAAATTGAGAAAACGGAAACCAGCCAAGAAGGTGGAATGGTCAAGTGACACGGTGGACAATGAACACTTGGGACGGAGATCTTCTAAATGTGAGCTACCACTATTATTCTGAAACATTTCCCACCTCACTATGCCCATATTACTGTATTTCTTCATGCATTTTCCTGGATCTTTGTTCACTAGTTAAATTGTTGAACCCAGCAGGTGTACTCTCCTAGGTTTTCAAAGAGCTATAATTTGGCCTGTACAGTTTTTTCCAGATTTCTAGAGGCTACATTGGGAGGAATATAACCCCTAGAGTTCTCCAGCTAGAATAGCGTCCCCTTAGGAGCTGGGAAAGGTGGGGTATAAATAGAGTAAGTAAGTAAGTAAATAAATAAATAAATAAGCCATGGGTGGAAGACACAAAGAGCTGATTCCTTTATATCAAGATTTAGCACCAGTGTTAAATATCGGTGTTCATATTTGTATGTAATATTCAACCACAGTAGATATGTTCTACTGCTGTGAAGGCTTTGTGACTAGATTGTGCCATCAACAGACCAGAGGTTGAGCTTTGTTGGCAGTGTACCTGCATCTGCCCCTGAGGCTAGTGTCTAGTGGTCTTGGAGGCCATGTGGTGGTCAGATTCACACCATTCCTGTTCCATTGTTGGGTGTGAGTTTATATTCCTGGGTTCAGGAGGAATCTTGTAAGCTAGTGTAGATGAGGAGAAAATCCTTACTAGGATAAGTGCAAGGAACTCCTGGGTCTTGGCTCACCCACTCTAACCTCTTCCCAGGCTAGTTGATAGGTCCCTGTAAGGGAGGTGGCCTATAACTGTCTTCTAATATGTCCCCACTGTACCTAACTCAAGGGCAGAACTTCGATTGGAATTGATAAGCTTTGGAGACAAAAGGCTGCTTATGCTGTTCTCCAGAGAGAAACGATTACTGTGGGTGGTTGCCAGCAGGAATCCTAGGCACTCAGCAGTTCTCTCTCGAAGCTGGAAGAGAGAGCATCATGTGATGGCAGCAGTTAGATGGGAGAGTGTGGGAGAGACTCTGCCATCACAGCATCTGCATTGATCGAAGAGAGGAGCACTCGCAGAAAGGGAGGCCAGGAAGGAAAAACCTTGCAGTGCTGTACCAGAGATGATACTGAAGCACAGCCAGCCACTTTGAAGGTTAGAACAAGGATAGAGGGGCTGTAGCCTTCCGGCTATGGTTGGGATCGCAACTTCCATCAGCACTGTCTATCACAGCTAGTATGGATTATGGGTGTTGTGGTCCAACATCTGGATAATCACCCCTGAGTTAGATGCAAAAATCATGTTTCAAGGAGAAAGTGAGCTTCATATATTATATCTTGCCTTTTCTTCAAGGAGCTCAAGGCAACACACATGGTCTACCTCTCAGTTTTATCCTCACAACTCTTCCTCAGAGTGTGATGGAGGCTCCTTTTTTGGAGGCTTTTAAACAACCATCTGTCAAAAATAGATTCATCTGTCAGGGGTGCTCTGAATGCAGTTTTACTGCTTCTTGGCAGTGGGATTGGACAGGATGGCCCACAAGGTCTCTTCCAACTCTATGATTCTATGAACCAGGGGAATAAAGTGGACAGAGAATATAAATCTAGAAGGAAGCATTCATTCTTGATGTTAATAATGTCATGCGTCTGTACCCCACCTTCTTGCAAAACTTCAGTGGGGCCACTAATTGAGATGAGCATGTGTGTTGCATCCCAGATCAGGAAACGAGACCATAAGATTAAATCCACCACACTGGACTGTAGGAAAAACAATCCTTTTTTATTGATGAAAAATTGGTTACAAAAGAAAGGTAAATGCAAAGTCAAAAAGCCACAATAGAAACACAGCAGTCAGGAAAATCTCTGAACTTGAGCAAAATTCCAAAAACCACAATACAAGAACCAGGAACCTGTTAGCCTCTCGCTAACCATGAATGTGATGATTACAGGAATGGAAATATGGACGACCAATTGGATCACGACTCTAGTTATGAGATGTATTGTGTTGTTATTGTGGTGTTAATATTTGTATACTATGTTTTTATGGTTTTAAATTGTATATCGTTGATTGACTTTTTACCCTTGTTGTAAACCGCGTTGAGTCGCCGGCTGGGCTGAGAAACTGCRGTATACAAGTAAAGTAAATAAATTAAATAAATAAATAACCATGTACTTGAAAACTAGAAGCCTCTGGGATTACCGGCCATGGAACACAGGAATTCTGCCAAGGCACAGCCACAGTCTAAAACGTTGCTTGATCTAACGAGACACCCGGAAGGAGGCCCCTTAAACCAAAGAAACTATTCCTTGAAACGTCCCTTGACTTTGAAGCCTGGGCCTGTCTCTCCTGTAATCTATTTGAGCTTCGTAGAAACTGGGAATCACTCCTGTCTCTAGCTATCTGTTCCCTTTGGTCCTCATTAAAAAACCCAGGTGGAGAGCTATCACCGCTGGATTCCAAAACATTTTCATCCGGCTGTTCAGTTTTACTTTCCTCRCCACTGACCTTAACATCAACAACAGTTTCAACACTGTCAGGGAGATATATATGTTCAGTGGCTTGCTCAGTTGGAAATAYAATCAGAGAATCAGGTTCACACAGAGATTGGGGCTGGGGCTCAGGTTCACACAGATCAGGCTGAACCCTAATCATGTGTCTCTTTCGTCCTCCCCACAGACTTCCAATAAATCACTGCTTGAATGATGTTGAAATCCTTATTGTGGGGGGCTAAAAATGTTGCTGTTGTTTGGCTCTTTATTCAGTTTTCTTCCAGAGGATATACTTTGCATTGACCATACTGAGGAATCTTTTTCAAGGCACCTGGAGGCCTTAGGGAGAAAGAGTCTCATTCTCTCTTTTAACTTACCTTTGGAGGCACTTTAAAAATTCTCCTCTGTCTCCTGCATCTTTTTTCTTCTTTTCTTTTAGTCTTTACCATTTGACTTATTCCCTCTTTCACATCTTTCCTTTTCCATACCAATGTGTGGCAGGGAGGCAGGAACTGCCACCTGGTTCTTCTGGTCTTAGGGTGTTTTTGCTTCCGTTTGAGTGCTAGGCTTTGTACCAAAAGACTAGCAAGCTGTTACTGATGCTTGACTCCCAGGACTCATAAGTAGCTAGCTGGATTCTCATTAGTAGTTAGCTGAAGATTGGCATGTTGGCGAAACACCAAATCAAAACAAAATCCAGACCCACAAAAGAGCAATTCCTTTATTGGTCCATCAAAAAGCACAAAACAGTTTTCAAAGATCTACAGGTTTCTTCACTGGCCTGTAACTTCAACATTGTCATTCTTTTTTCTTTCACCCATATGTTTTTTTAAAAAGCATCTTGCCTGATGAAGGAGCTTCCAAAACTTGCACGATATGTTTGTGCATTTTGGCAGGCCAATAAAAGTATCATTCTATTTTGGATTTTTTAAAATTTTGTTTTGATAGAAATGTTCTGCAATTGTCAGAGGGATAGTTATACTAGTTTGTTTTGAAACCTTCCAGTGTTACTGGACATCAGGACAAATTGAAAAAGTTAGTTTTTGGTCTAGAATTCCCAAAATCCCATAGCTGACTGACTGGAGAATTACAAGAGCTTTGAAATTGCTGATCTGATTGTTTCAAAACTTAATTCTAGCATCATTATAACATTACTTTAAGGAGTTTCAAAAAGTACTTTAATGTGTTTTTATTGTTTTAATTGGTTTTTACTTGTTCATCACCTTGGGAGCCCTTGTGGGCTGGGAGGCAATACAGAAATTCTGTAAGTGAATAAATTCAAAAAAGTTGCTGTTTTGAGTTCTGTAAACTGTAGAAAAGTTGAGAATCCCTGGTACAAAGTAGGGGCAAGTAGCTCATCCTCGGCTAATTGTCCTCTGAATGTCAAGTATTTTATTTCATGGCCATTTCACTTTTCTCCTAAGAAGAGACCCAAGGCTCTGGAACTCTCTCCCCAGGGATATTAGGTTAGCACCCACTCTGTCTACCTTCCGTAGGGACCTCAAAACATTGATGTTCAAATGTGCATTTGAAAATGGTTAGGCCCTGCCTATGACTGCCCAACCCTAATTGACCATCAGATTGAATCTGAGCACTTTACCCCAATCCTGACCCTATAATCTGCTTTTGCATAAACCCATGCCCAGCTCTCTCTAATTTGATCTGCCCACAATAGTCCTGGCTCTAGATATTGAGATTGGGTTTGATTTTATTTTAATGATTTTTAAATATATTTTGCTGCTTTAATTGTGTAATTATACTGTCATATTTTTTCTTGTGTTTTTAATATGTTTTTACTTGTCTAACTTAGTTGTTATTGGGCTTGGTCCCGCTTGTAAGCCACCTGAATCCCTTCGGGAAGATGGTGGTGGGATATAAAAATAAAGTTGTTGTTGTTGTTGTTGTTGTTGTTAAACCAGTTTTTAACAGACTTGTCAGGTCCTATTCTCCTGTTTCTTTTTAAATCCCCTCTTGTGCCTTTACTTTTGTCCTTAATCATTTACTGTTTTTGAGTTGCTTCCCTCATAATCCCTGACTGCCACTTCTACTTTATCTGCAATTCCTCTTCTCATTGTCTTTTACCCCAGCGCATCTTGGACTTAACAGTATTGCTGTTCCTCTCCCCTGGTCTCTGATGAATTGCTTTGCTATCTTCCATGTTCATATTTCTTCCTCCACGTTTATGGTGTTCTTCCCAAACCTACTTCTCCCTTTGGGGCCCCTGATCTTCTTTTTCCTTCCAAACTCTTCTTGTTCTTCATACTTTCTTCTCCTCTTCTCCCACCCTCAGGTTGCTGCATCTATGAGAAGCCTCGAGCTTTTGGCGAGAGCTCGACAGAGAGCGAAGACGAGGACGACGAAGGCTGTGGCAATGCCCATTGCATCCGGGGCCACAAGAAAGGCCAGCGGGGGAAGGCGCAGGGTACATCGGGAGACCCTGGCCCATCAGAAGGTTGCTCCCGGAAACCAGAACCGCCTGACCAGAACCACTCCAGGGCCATGCAGCACTGAAGCCCACCCTGCCAGGGGATGGGGGAAGAGAGCCCCCGCTCCCACCTGGAGCCAGGGACTAATGCTGCTCCAACTCCGGGGCGAAGGGGAGGGAAGGGAGGGCCCACGCATCCAGCTACCCGTCTGTCTCTCATGCCGGTGCTGACACTGCCTCAACACGGGGTGGGGAGGGGGAGGGAGGGAGGGGGAGGGCCCACGCATTCAGCTCCCCATCTGTCTCGTGCCAGTGCTGCTGCTGTCATCTATCTCCCCATCCATGGCTGGTGAGTCCATCTGGTGCCACCCATCCACACCCCACCTAACGTGGAATGTATTGACAGAGCCTCTATATTGACAGAGCTTTTTCCTCCTGCTTCTTAATTAAATATTTGTATCAGTGATGAACAAGGTGGGAAATCAGTACTGCTTTGGAAAAAGCAGCAATAGAGCTGCGTCCAAGACCCTTCTATTGGGCAAGGGTACCTCTGTCCTCTTTTCCCTATAGTTTCAACCATTAGGACAATCCACTTCTCCCTTGCTGTTCCTGAACTCCACTCAAACGCTTCTCCTTTCATCCCCTGCCTGGTTGATTCCTGTACTGTCTCTCACTCTGCCACCGTTGCACTCACTGATCCCTTTGGGTCTCAACCCCACTGCCTCCTTTTGTATCCAGGCTCCTAATTCACCAAAGCAAGGAGACTGCTTTTGCCACACAACTGCTTTAAGGCTGCAGCCTTCAGGCCTTTCTGTTCTCTTTCTGCCCACGGGGAAAGTGTAAGTCTTGACTTTGGCTTTTTACTCTTTCCTGTTTACAGTCACGGTTCTCTTCAAGTGAGTTTTTTTTCTAAAAAGAATCCCACTTTCTGTTTCAGCTTTTAAAAAGAATGAGAAACCATTTTTCATTATGCTTTGGGAAATTGTGAGCTGTTTCTTTTCAAGAGGGATGAAAAAAAAAGACATAAAGAGATGAGCCAAGTAATTGTGGAGTGTAGCAGCTGTTACTGGGTTTTGTGCATGTGGTGGATGTGGAAAGAGGCTGAGGATTGTGTGTTCTTCTGGAATGTGACATCTTACCTTTAAGGGGCTTGTGATCGGTTGAAGATCGCCCATGGCAGAACAAAGCAGGTTTCGTCCTCTTCCATGCTGAAACAGAAGCTCAGCTCCACTTTTTAGGCCAAGCAATCATCCTGAGTAAGACCTCACCATCAAGTCACATATGGTACCACAGGGTCCTGGCATGATGTGAGGAGGAGGCACCATCTTCTTTTGCATGACTCACAAATCATTTCCTTGCTCTTGCCTACCTTTGGTTTGATATGGGAGGATAGACAAGGGCCTGTCCTCAGAATATCTTTTTTTATTTTTCCTCCGGATGTCAGAATCAGTATGCTCTTGATTAAAAAGAAAACTTCAACAAGAGAAGCAAAGAACATATTTGGTGAGGGCGTGATCCTGAGGCCAGTTCAGAATGTCTTTAAGGTGTTCTGCAAGTTTCTGGTTAAGGTACATTTCTTCTCTATTGCAAGCAAGTATGGTTCTGAAATAAAATATTCTTAAAAGTATGAAAGCAAGCAACCACTTTGCCCACAGTAGTTCCTCCCTGCTCCTGGTGGTTGCTGGTTTCCGCCCTCCCTTCTCTTTCTTTTTTTCTAAGCGTGATTTCTAAATGGAGAACAAATGGGTGAGAAGGCAAGCAGAGAACCAGCAGTCTGCATTGTATAAGGTTTGGCACATCATACTAGTATTTTTGCTGCACAGCATGTAATAAATAGAGTTGCAGAAGGGTGCCCTATGGGTCCAACACACATGCATGCACACACTATTGTGATAGCCCTACATGGGTACCATGTATATTATAGGTAAGAGTTGCCACATTTGGTAAATTGTGGATAGGAGGAATCTGAGAGTAAGGCATCCCTGTTCCGCACCCCCCACCCCTCTAATCTCACCACTAACCACAGCCAAATAAAGGGTTCCAAACTATAGGCAGCAGGGAGAAACTTTGTGAATCAGGATTTTTTTTTTTAGTTCTGGTGCAATACAGTAGAGTCTCGCTTATCCGACCTTCGCTTATCTGACATTCTTATCCGGCGCCCTTTTTTCCTTCAGCATTTCCCCTTCAATTAAAGGAGTGCTCCCCAACTCTCTCTCCATTCCCAAGAAGTTAAAAAGGCAAGACGAGGAGGAGGAAGGAAAGGGGGGAAAGAGGCAGGACCAGAAGCAGAAGCGTCCTCCCTCCTTCCCTCTGTGATTTCCACGCTCCTCTTCCACATCTGGACACTTCCTGCTGGACCTCTCTAGCCCCGAGGCGTTACCTTGCTTTAAATCTTTGAGTCCCTGTTGTTAGTATTCTAGGTGTGTAGCGCCACGTCAGATGGGTAACAGTAGGAGACTCTGTATTATTTGATATTTTCATTTATCCGACGTTCTGCTGTCTCATTTATGCCGGATAAGCAAGACTCTACTGTATTACAGTCTCTCCTGCATGAGCAAAGACAGAAAGATGGCACATTTAAAATTCTCATATTCATATTGGGTGCCTGAAAAATAAACTGGGGGTATCCCCCCACTTGCTGGCATCAGAAGTATTCATTGGTGAAAATAAGATACTGTTTTAAGAGGGACCAGCAGAACAACTGGCCATAATTGTGGCATAAGTAACTATAGTTACACTCAAGAATATGTTAGGTAAAGTGCTTCACAGCAACATGCCCTCTTTCTATCTCCCCTTCTCTTAAAACACCTTACTTTGAAATAAAAGTGCCTGAGCATTAGAATCCAAATGCCTTGGCATTCAAACTTGGATCAGAGCTCCCCAAGTCACTCCCTGCATTGTTTTAACAAGTCGATGAAGCAGTCTCAATGTAATGTGATCTGAAATGCCAACTTTTTGTCGAAATCTGTGCAAATGGCATGTGTGGTGCAAGTGCTGTGTGGTTATTTGATCCACTGATTAAATTTTGTTTCATCTAAACACAAATCCTGTCCTGCAGATGTCTGGAGTCAAGGCTTTGCTGCTCGCAACATATGAGGAACGTTGCCCTAGTTATGGAAGGGAGGTGTAAGGGAAGAAAGCCACCAGAGGGAGAATTTGGTAGAGGAGATGTTGGGAGGCAGGTGAAGGAATAGAAACAAAGCCATTTGCGCGCCCCCCCCCCCCCCCGATATAAATCATCCCTTGCAGCTGTGAGAACTAGTGTTTCCAAAAGATCAAAATAGGTATTATGAATCCAACACATGCATTTTTTTTCACTGCAAGATAGTGTGCTTTTCATTGGATAATGGAGACTATGCACTAAACCAGTGGTTCTTAACCGGTGGGTCCTGAGATGCTTTGGCCTTGAACTCCCAGAAATCCTAACAGCTGGTAAACTGGCTGGGATTTCTGGGAGTTGTAGGCCAAAACACCTGGAGACCCACAGGTTGAGAACCACTGCACTAAACTAGGCTGCTTAAGCATACAGATGATAAAGCAGCCCAAATCAAATTATGGCATGAAGGCACATCTTTCCACAAACCTGCTAAATAGCAGAGTCTGATCAATTCTGGGATGGAAATGCTACCTTGTTCTTCATGGGATGAGAGAGTGTGTATGTTTGTGTATAGATATATATGTAGATAATATACACATATACAATAAACGCAGGTACCCGGAATTCTAAAGCAAATGGCAAAAAATAATAATAATCAAAAGACATAAAATTTTAAATTAAAAGTAAAATCAATCTGTAGTGGAAATGTTACATTAAGTTTATCTTCATTTTCTTTCAATTACTGTATTTCAATATTATTGTCAAGTCAATACAGAGTTTATGATATGTTATAGTATTAGTTATAGTATTAGTTAGGCCTATTTTAATAGGAGGGCTCCCTGGTGGTGCAGTGAGTTAAACCGCTGAGCTGCTAAACTTGCTGACCAAAAGGTTGGCTGTTTGAATCCAGGAGTGGGGTGAGCTCATGTTGTTAACCCCTGCTTCTGCCGACCTAGCAGTTCAAAAACATGCAAGTGTGTTTAGATCAATAGGTACAGCTTCTGCAGGAAGGTAATGGCGCTCCGTACAATCATGCTGACCACATGACTTTGGAGGTGTCAATGGACAATGTCGACTCTTCAGCTTAGAAAAGGGGATGAGGGCCACCTCTGAGTCGGACAGGACTAAACTTAATGTCAGGGGAAACCTTTACCTTTACTGTTTTAATAGGAATTCTCAGGCAACCAGAATCTACATTTTTCCAGCATCTACCATTTGCCATGGATACTGGTTAACAGACTATTGTATACATGTATGTATACATGCACCACAAAATGTATACCACCAAAAAAAGTCTGTTAAAGGACTTGCCACTGGAGGGCAGCAAAGGGCCCTGCTAAGTAAGACTTCATGCAGAGGTAATGCTATCTATTATCTTGACTACCGGTAGCTTTATTTGATAATTTGCAACTCTTCTCTCCACAGCAGTAAAAGGAACTTCCTAAGGAGATGTGGGAATGTCCTAAGAGAACATGGTTTTCTAGATGTAGATAGATTACAACTCCCATAATGCCTTCGGATGCTGAACCTACAAGCATTGAGACTTGGTGCCCAACCTTTTCCAGGTGTTTGACTTCAACAGAAGCCCTGGCTCGCTTATCCAATGGCTAGCTTATCCAAAGGTAGCAAATACCATATTTGGTCAGCATGATCCTTCCCTTTACTTCTGCTTTCTTTCACAGTGCTACATGGTCAATGGTTTCTTTTGTCTTCATCTCCCTAATGCTTAATAGGTAAAGTGACAGAAACTAACAGGTGAAACTGTCTATATAGAACAGTACCTCTCCCATCTCATCCATTTTGGCCTTCATTGGCCATGTTGGCAGGGATTTGGAGTGAGTCTACACCAGGCATGGGCAAACGAGCCCTCCAGGTGTTTTGGACTTCAACTCCCACAATTCCTAACCGCCGATAGGAGTTGAAGTCCAAAATACCTGGAGGGCCCAAGTTTGCCCATGCCTGATCTACACTGTAGAATTAAAGCAACTTGGCATCATTTTTATTGTCCTGGCTCAATGTGTGGATCACATTGAGCTGGTGAGGCACCAGCATTCTTTATTAGGTAAAGGTAAAGGTTTTCTCCTGACATTAAGTCAAGTCATGCCCAACTTTGAGGGTGGTGCTCATCTCCATTTCTAAGCTGAAGAGCCAGCATTGTCCATAGACACCACCAAGGTCATGTGGCCTGTATGACTTCATGGAACGTTGTTCCCTTCCCGCAGATGTGGTACCTATTGATCTCACATTTGCATGTTTTCGAACTGCTAGGTTGGCAGAAGCTAGGGCTAACAATGGGAGTTCACCTCTCTCCCTGGATTTGAACTGCCAGTCTTTCGGTCAGCAAGTTAAGCAGCTCAGTGGTTTAACCTGCTGCATCACCAGAGGACCCCTAGTAGAGAAGGCTAAATAACTTTTGAAACTGCAACTCCCATGATTCCTTAGCATTGAGTGACAGCAATTAAAGTGGCGTGAAACTGCATTCATTCTAAAATGTAGATGCACCCTTGGGGAGATAATGTTTTAAAAAATACTTGAAAGGGAACAGGAGAGAGAGGTTGAAAATCATCGTGCAATGGTGGGGCACACTTTTGAAAAACCTGTGATATTTTTCTCACCTCAATGAGAAAAGGCACAAACAAGCAGTCCCCATTTAAAGAAAAGCATCTTCAATAATATGTGTAACCACTTTCTGCACATTCTCTTGGTAGCCTTCGTGCAAACATCTGACCAAAGCTGGAGCCTGGACTGACCCAACATCTGGCTTTTAGAAATGGCTCTATCCCTCTCCCTGCAGACATGTCAAGGCAGAGGCTGTGCTAATGTAGGAAGAATCCAGGTGAGGTTTCTGAACAACCACCAACCTCTGGGAAACATTTAAATCTTGCCTTTCAACACAGCGCTGCAGCTTGCAAAGGAAAGCTCTTAATTACAATAGCAAGATCTGGCCTGAAGAGCATTAGAAAGATGCATCGTGCTTGAAAAGGAAGGGGGTGTTGCGTGCAGCAGGTGGAATATTGTGTTTGGCTTGCCATCTCCCAAAGCGATATGAAAAAGGCCTGCATTATATTTCATTGTGGCTGTATTTCCTTCAAATAAGGTAAGGGTTTCAGCAACTACAACTCCCAAATATCAAGTTCTATTTTCCCCAAACTCCTCCGGTGTTCACCATTTGGGCCAATTGATTATTTGTGCCAAGTTTGGTCTAGATTCATCATTGTTTGGGTCCACAGTTTTCTCTGGATGTAGGTGAAAAACAACTCCAAAACTCAAAGTCAATGCCTACTAAACCCTTCTAGTATTTTCTGTTGGTCATGAAAGTTCTGTGTGCCAAGTTTGGTTCAATTCCATCATTGGTGGAGTTCAGGATGCTCTTTGATTGTAGGTGAACTATAAATCCCAGCAACTACAACTCCGAAATGACAGAATCAACCCCTCCCTCCAACCCCACCAGTATTCAAATGTGGGCGTATCGGATATTTGTACCAAATTTGGTCCAGTGAATGAAAAAACATCTTGCATATCAGATATTTGCATTATGATTCATAACAGTAGCAAAATTGCAGCTATGGAGTAGCAAGGAAAATAATTGTATGGTTCTGGGTCACCACAACATGAGGAAATGTATTAAGGGGTCGTAGCATTAGGAAGGTTGAGAACCACTGTCCTAAGTCAACTCTCCTTTCAAGGAAAAGCCTCTGATTTCTTTTGGGATTATGTACTTTTTTATTTCCATGGTTTTATAATACCACTGAAGGACTCAAGCAAATCTTCACTGCACACACACAAATTAATATTATTATACACATTATAATGTAATTGTTGTTACACATAATAAAGATAAAAACAATACAGTGCTCATCAGGTTATAATTCAGTCTCTTATTCATGGATGCCACCAGCAAGACAATATATTATGGCAAGAGCTTTGGAAAAGAAAGAATGGGGTTGGAGGAGATCACTCAAGGACGACTTAATTCAAACACAATGCACAATTTACTCCTAAGAGATGACCATCAAACATTTGATTTAAATGCCTCCAAAGGAGAGTACACCACTTTCCCAGAAATCTTAAGTCTATTATTCAATAGGTCTTATTAATAAAATAGTCTTCCTAATCATTTGCTGAAATCTGTTTTCTTGTAATATGGATACATTAATTCTGGACTCCAGAGCAGTAGAAAACAAGCTCTGTTGTCTGTGCGATATCCTTTCAGGAATTTAAGTATGGCTATCATGTCATCTCTCAACCATCTGTTCACTTGGTTACACATACCCAGCTTCCTAAGTCATTCCTCATAAGGATTAGTCTGTAGACTTTTTCACATCCTAGTCATCATTTGGTGATTCAGTTTGTCAATTTCACCTCTTGAACTGTGGGCACAGGAAATGTGTATATTCCTGCTAGAGTCTAGTCTAACGCTCGAGGTTTTTATAGCCTCTCCCCAACCCTACGTTTGCATGAAATGATCAAATACCACTGTCCACATGCTTCATATTTGGAAAAAAAGAAGACACTGCATCATAATGGTACGTTTTACTAGCCGAATCCCCAGCACCTGGTGATGGTTTGAAACAAGTCAGTGATGTGCACTTCAATGTTTACTGAACAGCAGTTACGCATAATGTTGAAATTTTGGCTGTGTGTAAGGCTAGCCAACTCTTGACCATTAGGAGCATGACCTTAGATCTATTGTTTATGGAAACCCTTAGGTCTACCACAGACATGGGCAAACTTGGGCCCTCCAGGTTTTTGGACTTCAACTCCAACAATTCCTAACAGCCTGAGACTGTTAGGAATTGTGGGAGTTGAAATCCAAAACACCTGGAGGGCCCAAGTTTGCCAATGCCTGGTCTACCAGATGGAACCAGGTGAAAACATCTGGTTCCAGAAGTTGACATCAAATTTTAACAAAGATGTTTTACTGAGAACAGCAGGCTCAGCTCAGTTCATTCTCTGTACCAGAACCAGAGAGTGTTTCCCACCCACCTCAACGCCTGTTCCCTTGTACCTTCCTGTTTTCTTGATTGACTTCCAGAGCCCAATTTAGCAGTGCCGGTGAGAAAGAATGTTTAATGGTGGTGTTATCCTCATAAGAAATCATCCAGCACTGATCTGCTAATCATAACATAGAGAACTATCAGTTGTCCCCAACCTACCTTCTGGCCATTCTTACTATAAATTGCATATATATTATGTGATTATTGTCTTGGAAAGCTCACAATTTCCATCAGGCAGTGAATTCGATTTTGGGAAACACCAAAGACTGCTAAATCGAAAAAATAGTGTGAGGAGGTTAGGTAGCAGAGGAACATCCCTAAGCAGTCTTTTACCACTTCAGTTCTGTAGATAGCCATTATGTTTGTGTTTCCTTTTACTGGGAAGTGGAGTAAAAAGAGGAATGTTGTTGTATGAACTGTTTTGTCTGTTTATATGCACAAAGTCACACAATGCCAACACAACGCCCACATTCTCTATTTCCATGGCTCCAGGAGAAAATGCACAGGATAGAAAATCAGCAACTCTCTCCAAAAAGATTTGGGCTGAAGTCTTTTTCCATACTGGAGATGTCAAGACAGGATATTCCCCCGCCCCCCACTCAAGTTACTGAAGGCTTGGCTTAAGAAAGCAAATCCAGTCCTCCTTCTCTGATGTAGTTCAGCCTGAAATCTGCTCTGTCCAGTTATGGTGTCATCATTCTGAATCAAAAGCAAAGCTAACTTTTCAGTTGAATTCTGTCAGCAAGGTTAATGAATATGAGATTTGATGGTGAGTCAAGGGGCCCGGGGCTTGCCTAGAATTTCCTCTCTGGGAGAGGAATGACCACAGTGAGAACCTCTCTTCAAAGCTGAAATTAAGTCCTGTAGGTTCTTTGTAGGTCCTTTGCTAAGTCTGGAAGCCAAGGCCAAGGCACCCCTTTAGCCTTTCCACCCTCTCCCTGGATCCAGATGCATCTGTTTTGCTGCCGGAGCCAGAGGAGAATTCTTTGGGCCATTTTGTTGCTGCTGCTGCAACCAACAAGTCTTTGCAAACCAGGGACCATTGAGAGGGGGACTAGGCTGAGTTTCCGGGATGTCAACATGAGAAAGCGTAGCAGAGGCAGCTGGCATCACACTAGCTGTGGAGAGACAAAATGGCAAAATATAAAATGCACAAGATGTATTTTTTCCACGCATTAATCATTCACATCACATTTGGTATATAGGGACCTCCTATTTGGGAGAAGTCTATGTCATATGGACAGTTGGATCTGGGGTACATGCACAGTACACAAATACAATGCTTTGATACAATTCTAACTAGGCTTGTGCATTTTGACTGAACCTTGATCCTTTTCTGTTGGTTGGATTTTGGTAGACTCCCATATCCATTTTTGTGAACCTCCTGAAAACGGGCGGGTAGCTGGATAGTGTTTTTGGTCCGCAGTTGAAAAATGTGGCTAGATCTCAGCCACTGGCAGCAATGGAGAAAGGTTCCCCTTTCCGTTCCTGGGATCTTTTCCTTTCTTTCAGTGGGGCCTAGGTTTGAGGTTAGGGTTAAAGAAGTACCCTTCCTAGGACCCTTTTCTTTCTTCTCTTCAAGGGAGCCTGGGTTTCAGCAATGGGATTAAGGAAGTAGACACAGCTTGCGTAAGACACAGCTTGTGTAAGAGTTCTTCAATTCCAATTGGTCCAACAGGCATGGCTCACAAGGAAACCCCATGCAAGCAGCACACAGCAGCCTCTTTACGCGCCCCATGATGTTGAATGGAGGGGGGGGGGGAGAGAATCCGTGATCAGCTGTCACATAGTCCCGTTATGGAAGGAAAAACGTGATGGCTGGGCCCTTGCCATTACGGCCATCTGACCAAACCAAACAAGCCAGATTGGCTGAAGTGAACCAACTACTCCGAATTTGTGCACAAGCCTAATTCTAACAACCATGACTAATACTATGGTCTCTCTACAGTTGTGATTATACAAGAATGTAACAGAATAATTGAAAGCAGGCTCCTCCTGATATTTTAGGGTTGGAATTGTAGAATGCCCTTTCCTTGGAGGCCTGATTGGCACTGAGACTACAGCTGGCCTGCCACATTCCAGGTTTGACTTCTGATTATTCATGGCTGTTATTTAAAAGATTCTCTCTGTCAATAAAACTGTAAGATGTGAAACATTAACAAGTCATGTAAATGACTAATTAATGTGTGTGTGTGTGTGGCCCAATTCCTGTCTGCATCCCCCCCCCCAATAAAATTGTTACTATAATTATAATAGTGATGGATAATGTTGAGGAAAAAACAATTACCTTGAAATAATTATCCATATTTACTCGAGACTAATACATGACTGAATCTAATGCACACCTTAATTTTCAAAACCCTGAAACCAAAAAAGGTATTTGCTGACTAATGCAATATGCAGTGGCAAAAAGTACACTCTATACTTTGGCCAAAAAGGTGTGCATTACATTGGTCACATGCTTAAAATCCCTTTTTAAAAATTATCAGAACACCAAAGCTTTCAGCAATGGAAAAAAACCCCTTGAGGTGCAGCTATTCTGTGGAAAGAATCCACTTTAATTGTCCTGACTCAATGCTATGGGGTCATGGGAACTACCAAATAATACTGATACCACACCAAACTACATACCCCAAGATTGCATAGCATTGAGCCATGGTCATTAAATAAGGGACCATGTTCCAGAAATACGAGCTCTAAGTACTCCTGAGGCAGTTTTCTCTTTGTCTTTGTCTCAGCACTAAGATTACAGCCTAAATTTGACAAGGTAATTTGGCCAAAAAAAGGTTGAGCATTAGAATTGAGTAAGTATGATATTTGCGAGTGGAGGGCTTCAATTTGCCCTACAGAAACAATTCATCCCATGTAGGCCTTCTGCCTGACATCCCTGAGTCCAACTTCTGGGGAAAATTTCAGTTTTAAAGGACCCTGAAGGAAGAACATGGGTAGACTCACCATCTGCAAACTTCTCTGATGCCTTCCTGAGAAAGTTTGGGAGAGGAGGGGGAGATGAGAGAGAGGGAGAGAGGGAGAGAAGAAGAATGAATAGCATTAGACCAACAGATTCAGATGATTATTAATTTTCATATATTGACAGACGAGAAACTGAGAGAAAAGGAGGTTTTTTGGTTCCTCTCTGGCTATCAGAGTGTAATTTGCCCAAGCACACCCAATGGGTTTCCATGGCTGACCAGAGATTTGAATCCTGGTTTTCTGAGTCCAATGCTTTCACCCAGAGGAGGCCCTAGGTAATTTTCAACGGTAAGCAAATAGTATTTTGCCCCACCCCCACCCCAACCAATCACTGATATATGTTTTCTGTTCGTCGTGTGCCATATTTGGTTCAGTTCCATCATTGGTGGAGTTCAAAATGCTCTTTGATTGTAGGTGAACTATACATCCCAGTAACTACAACTCGCATATGTCAAGGTCTATTTTCCCCCAAGAGTGCCTCAAGAGCACCCCTGGGCAAAATCAACTATACTGCAAATGCTTATTTTGCGAAATGGGTTGAGCCGCCCCTGCTTTCACCACTACACCATACTGGCTCTCTGTGGCAGGTTTACCATGCTTTAAATGGCTGACAAAAGTCGAAGCTCAATGCCACATTGAGACCAAACCCAGAGCTGGGGAACCTTAGCTCCCAATATCACTGCTTGTGTGAGTGTTGGTCCAAAGAAGGGAACTTTCTCACGTTCTGAAACCATGGCTGCAATCCAACACCCTTTCTACTTAGCATAAATATTTGCATGTGAAAAGATGCTATACCAGAATTACAGGCAGAATAGCAAACTTGCGCGATACATCTCAATGCACAACTATATCCCACATTATTCAATAATACACAAGTATCAGAAGCAAACCTATGGTACAGTTGTAATTTATTTAAAAAACACAAAGTTTTTTTTTAAAAAAACTTGGTATTATACTAAATGTCCTTTGACTAGAAGCTGGCCACTTGGAGTGCCTCTGGCTATAAGAAGGTCCTCCACTGTGCATGTGGCAGGGCTCAGGCTGCATTGTAGTAGGTGGTATGTGGTTTGCTCTTCTCCACACTCACATGCCGTGGACTTCACTTTTGTAATGCTCGATACGAAGCGTTGCTTTCTTCACTACTAGCCAAATAAATCTGTTATGCTCTGTTGAAAAGTGTGCCCTGCATGGCATAACTTATGCATGAGTATTGAGTATGTCACCAATAGAAGGCCAGCCACTGCGTCACTGCACAACAGTGCCTTTCATCTTTGTCAAAAGACAGCACACGTACAGATGGCTACCCAAGGATGAAACCCTGTGTGTTTTGAAGGGAAAGAGATGGGCAGAGCTAACATGGAAGTTTACCTTGACATTAAAGGCAAAAATAAAAACCAAAACAGATGGTTCAGATCCACACTGACTTGCATCTGGTTCAGTACAGAAAATGTAAAATATTACTTTGGACAAACATTATTCAACACATCACATGGCCACTAACTCAAGGTGAGACACCAGTTTGATACCTCTTTAATTGCCACAGCTCAATGCTGTGGAACCATGGGAATTGCAGTTTTAGAAGATCTTTCATCTTCTCTGATGGAGGTCCCTTCCACACAGCTGGATAAAATCCCACATTATCTGCTTTGACTGAGTTATATGACAGTGTGGACTCAGATAACCCAGTTCAAAGCAGATATTGTGGATTATCTGCCTTGAAATTCTAGGTTATATGGCTGTGTGGAAGGGCTCGAAGAATGCTTGTTTCACCAAACTACAAATCCAAGGATTCCATAGCATTGAGTCATGGCAGTTAAAGTAATGCCAGACTGCATTAATTCTTTTTTATTTTTAACTTTTATTTATTGTAGTTTTAACATATTTAGTGTCTATACGTTCTTATACTTATCACTTCCCCTTAACAAATTGTACAGAACATATATGTCTTAATTCCTATATTTCATCCTCCCACTTTATTATATACTAGCCATCCCCTGCCACGTGTTGCTGTGGCTCGGTTTGTGTATATATGTATATACGTGTGTTTGCGTATATATACGTGGTTTTGCGCATGTGTTGTAATGTATTTGTTTTATTCTTTCGCTTTTTAAGCCCCTTCCGCTGTGTTTTTCAGTGTTTTTATGAGTGATGGTCACTCACAGGCCTGATAGGTGTATTGTGTCTGAATTTGGTGTCAGTTCATCCAGTGGTTTTTGAGTTATGTTAATCCCACAAACCAACATTACATTTTTATTTATATAGATTGTCCAATCACCCAGTGCTGACTGTATTAATTCTACAGAGTGGTGTTAAACTCATTTTCACCAAGGGCTATGTGTTGGTACAGCTGTACCAGAAGCTCCCACTTTATTTGCTTTGTATTAAGTGTTTGCTTGCAGCCCAAGGCTTGGGATTCTGCAGAAGGGTGGCTTCCTGTTAAAGTTTGCAGTTATAGGGCAGGCCCCCTGTCCATCATCGTTAAGTTTGGTTCCACCCCCCTGTTCAGGACAATTGAGAAGGGAAGGGAGCCATTTTCAGTCAGTCTCAGCAAGGAAAGTCAATGTACAGGACGTGTACAGACTTTCTCCTGTACAAAGGCTTCAACTCTTAAGACTTCCCGGGGGAGAACGGTCTTAAGAGCAAAAAGATTCCCAAAGATTCCCAGGGAAACAGCCCTAAAGCTCTGCGGAATTTCGGAGGGAAAAACAGCTTTGAACATCTAAGAATTCCAGCTGAAGTGACTACAGGCCTACTGGTAGGTCGACTCGGTGCTTTGAGACGCAGTTCAACCCGGTAGTGGAGTCCACATCAGTTAGGTTTAGGTTCACAGTTAGCCTGGGAGAAGTTTGGAAAGGGATTTTCCTTTAGAGTAAAGTAACAGTTAGAAGCCACCAGTTGCACAAAAGCTTGGAAGCATTTGTTAAACCTTTTGAAGACAAAAGAAGTTTCTGTTGATTGTTCACCAATAAAGACTTTGTTATATTTTACAAGCCCTCTAAAGACTGTTTATGGTGAAAATCCTTAAGAATTTCTCTTCGGGCCCCCTGGCCTCCCGCTGGGCTAAAGTTCCACGTCCTGTTTTGAAAACAATTCATTTCAAGGCCAGCGTGCGACAGAACAGGCTACATCAGCATTATGGTTGACTTCAAGGGCCATTTGTAATTGTTAGTCTGTATAAGTGGAACAATGGCATTGAAAGCCTTGTGGGCCACATTAAATGACATGGTGAGCCAGATTCGGGCCACAGGCCTTGCATTTGACCCACATGTTCTATAGTGTAGATGCACCTGTATTAATCATAGTCACCAAGAAAGAGAGGTTTGTCATGCTTATGAAGAAGTAATAACCATTATCAAATGGCAATATGGAAGATTCACAGGGACTTCTGTATTGATGAATATATGACACAGTTTGGGAAAGTTTTTGCTTTTATGCCCTGATTGTGGAATTCCTGGTGGCATCTCACTGATGATCATGGGAAGAGGGAGATTGGTGAAGACAAATAAGAGCTTGCAGCAACGGAACTCTCTGCCCCAGAGTGTGGTGGAGACTCCTTTAAGCAGAGGCTGGACGGCCATCTGTCAGGAGTACTTTGAATGTGACTTTCCTGCTTCTTGGCAGAGGGTTGGACTGGATGGTCCACGAGGTCTCTTCCATCTCTATGATTCGATGATTATTCTTACAAAAATGTCAGTGTTATTGTAATGCAGAACCTTTCCAGAGCTCAGAAAAGTTACTTTGAAGGACTACAACACCAAGAACACCACACCAATAATGCAATCTGCTAGTTCATTCATAGGGCTGTGTCTCAAAAAAGCAAAATTTTCAAGTTTTTCCAAGCCCAGAGGTTTTTAGTTCTTGGAAAACCCAGCCAGCATGGCCAATGGCAAGGGATTATGGGAGGAATTATCTAGCACATCTGGAGGGCCATTGATTATGCAATCCAAGAAACATTGCTCACAGCCACATAATCTTGACCGGGCAACTAATTATTCTGGCAAAGCTGAGATATGACAGCACTGCAGGACGACTAGGCTCACCGAAGTGGAAACACTAAATCCTGCAGTGCTTCAATCTATGCAAGATACTTATCAAGACATGTTATTACAGCTCCCAAATTATCCCAACAATTCGTTCTTCTTCCCAACAAGGGCAGAGCTGTTTGTACTATAAGCTTGTCAAATGGAATGATCTCATCAAGCTCAGCAAAGGCTTGAAATCATGTGCTGAAGCAAACAAACACCCTCCAAGAGTTCATGGGTGGAAAATGTGGCCATGTTTTTAATATCTCCTTTCTTTTTATGCCAAGGACCATTGCTCAAGAAAGCAAGACGAGACACTGGAAGCAGCCCAAGAAAGAAGGAAAGCAAAAGGAAACAGTGAAAGGGGAAGATATGCCCAATTAAATGCACAATTCCAGAGATTAGCCAGAAAAGATAAGGTACTACTTTTAAACAAGTAATGCATGGAAGTGGAAGAAGACAATAGAATAGGAAGGACAAGAGACTTTCTCCAGAAAATTAGAAACATCAGAGGTAAATTTCAGGCAAAAATGGACATGATCAAAAACAAAGATGGCAGGGTTCTCACAGAAGGTGGTGAGACTATACAGAAGCTCTGTATAGGAAGGATAATAATATCGAGGATAGCTTTGATGGTGTGGTGTGTGAATTAGAACCAGACATCCTGAGGAGTGAGGTTGAATGGGCCTTAAGAAGTATTGCTAACAACAAGGCAGCAGGAGACGACGGCATCCCAGCTGCACTGTCTAACATCTTGAAAGATGTTGCTGTCAAGGTGATGCATGCCAYATGTCAGCAAATATGGAAAACACAAGAATGGCCATTGGAGGGAGGGATATTAGTGGAAAAGAGGAAATATTTTGGCCACATAATGARAAGACAGGAAAGCTTGCAGAAGAGAATRATGCTGGGGAAAATGGAAGAGAAAAGGAAGAGGGGCTGACCAAGGGCAAGATKGATGGATAGTATCCTTGAAGTGACTGGCT